ATAATATATATATATTATATATATATATTATATTATATATATATATATAATCTTGTGTGATGACGAATAATATAACGAATGAAAAAAAGATAGAATAGAATAGAATAAAATAGTTGATCGTGAAATAACGGTGCACGATTTAAAATAATATATATATATAGTGTTTCCGTTATTTTAGGTCGCATTAAAACCGAATCGAAGTAACTTTATGGTCATGATCGTAGAAAACGTGTATTGTGTTTCGTGTATTCTGTATAGCATGTAAGCTTTCAAAAGAATAAAGATATGGCATATAAAGGCCAAAGAGAGAAAGAGAGAGAGAGAAAGAGAGAGAGAGAGGGAGAGAGAGAGAAAGAGAGAAAGAGTGAGAGAGACTCACTGGTTCTGTGAGGTAAGACTCCCACAATTCCCTGAGATCGCTGCTTCCCACATCGTAGAATTCCATGATGGCTAGTTCTCTTCTTTCTATTCGCTGATCTTTCTCCGATCTGCGTTGTCTATCTCTGTGTTGTCCTCAATCAATCTCACATACTTGAATGCTCATTTACGCCGTCTAGAACCTCAAACACCGGGACATCCTGGATTTTTCTTTAAACGACACCGATACTTTTGTCTATGGTAGTATCTGCAAATTAACGAGAAATAAAAAATAGATATAATTTAAAGATAATGTTAAGAATTGAATAAAAGTTTCAAGGGACACGTATGCGTACGTGTATATCTTAAAGATAGTAAAAGATTTATCAAGATTCATTTTATCATTTATGTTAAGATCTGTCGAATGTGATTAGAAAAAGAAATAGAAATTCTTAAATGATTGTACGATAATCGTTTAAAAAATGTAAGGAAAAGAAAATATCTCGTTAAATTGGATATGATCATACCAATATAAATACTAACTGACTAACACATAAATTTCAATCATACGGAGATTGATATTTTATTTATTTTTAATCACTCAGAGTATTTTAATAACTTTACCGATCATTAACAACAACTTAATCTCAAATATCTACTGTAATTAATTAATTACTACGTTAATTAACGAAAAGACGAATAATCGTTGATAGCGAATCAATTTATTTGACATTAAGTATCGTTGATTTGTATTTGAAAAAGAAAGAAATAATAATGTGAAAATGAAAGTAATTTTTGATACGAATGATAATATATTCATGCATGCGTTTATAATATTTTTCAATGATATTTAAAACGTACGTTTTTGTTGCGTTGTATTATAATAACAAGCAATACAAATCGAGACAAATCGTAACGCGTTGTAACGAGATCAATGGGTACGTATTTTATGGGTTAAGTACGACACGATGCCTGTTCGATCCGTTGTAGAATAAACTAGAGAGAATAATAGTAGAAGAAATAAAGTGGGGATGTGTTCTCAACATGAAGTATGTAAAACAAACGGAACGAGAGTCCAAGTTTTACAATACATATCTATATACATACATAATTTCATCGAAAGTATTATTTTGTTCGATTTAAACAAGCTTTGATTTTATTCTTTTAAAAAAAAAAAACATGAACAAAAAAGAAAAAGTTCCTTAATTCAAAAGTTAATATAATTTAATTGCAAAATAATTTCTACACATTGGAAAAAAAAAATAAGTAGAAGAAGAAGAAGAAAGTTTGGTACCGAGGATATATTCGGATGTTTCATTTATTTTTCTCTTCTATTTTTTTTCTATAAACAACCGAAGAAAATAAAAAAAAAGTAAAAAAAAAAGGTAATGAGGTCAGATGCATAAAAGACTATAATAATCTAGTATCTTTTTTCCCTTCTTCGATCTGGCTTAACGGAGATACGAGCACGACATTTCCTCCCGATAAAACTCGTTTATTATAATCACTGAAGAATGACAAACGTTCCGTTCCACGTGAGAAACGTTCCTATATACGTTTTACTGGAATATATTTACATATTACACGTGTAGCAAAAATAAAAATAACAACAACAAAAAATTAAAAACCGAACAAACGTACAAACATACAAATGTATAGTAAACCAAAAGTTTGTGCGTTATATTGTGTTGAAACTACTTTGAAACTACATAATATGGATTGTTTTCTCGTACAATTTACATTAGAAATATTAATAAAAAAAAAAAAAAAAATTGTCCGAACACTTTTGGTTCACCCTAATATAAAACAACAGAACAATCCTTAAATTATTATCGCTAGGAACGCGTGTATATATATATATAAATAGATTAAAAAAACGTAAATATTGAATGTTTCTTTACATCATCTTCTTCCCCCCCCCCCCCCCGAATATATATTCTATGTATAAAGAGAGTGCACTTGTTGAAGCACTCACTACTCGGATAGGTGCGCGTTCATCCGTCCTGAGCAGAGAAAAAGGTCAACGTGCGAGAGCCGTGGACAGTGACCGAGGTGTATGCGCAAGAGAAGACGATTCGTTCCTGGCATATCGACGAGAAACTGAGAGCTTACTCTTCTCACAACTATATAACGGTGAACATAATAATAACTTCAATAATAAAAGGCACGATGTTTTTTCGTTACAAATTTTTTTTATGATTTATATCTCGTATAATATAAAGTATAAAAAAAAAAGTTGATTTTGATAATAGAAATAACACAAGACGACACATTATGTAGTACTGTTAACACCTTGATACCGGAATATAACGGATCACCACTATGTCTTATCAACATCGTTAAGTTATCTCACGTTGTGATACTTAAAAAACTTATACTATGTACATGTATATACTTCTTCGACGAGAAATATAATCGCGTTTCGAATCGGTCCTTTGCAATATCATCACATACATGTATGTATATATATATATGTATATAAATGTGGTATACGTGCTCGCACGAGTATAACATCAAAGAGAAACATTCAAAGTAACATCGTCAAATTCCCGGCTGGATTTCTGACCAGAGATTGTAAGAGGAGGAAGGAAAAGTAAAAGAGGTGGGAGGTGGTAATATGAAAGGGTGGTACGGACAGATTCGCATCGGACACGATACCACCAGATGGTACATACATGCATGTTCTATACAAGCTATTCTATCTCACTCTCTCTCTCAATATCTATCCATCTATCTCTCTCTAACTGTTTTCCTCTCTATCTTTTATTCACTCGGAAACAGAGATTTCGCGGGTGTGTGTGCGCGCGCGCGCACGTGGAACACGTGCGGAATAACACACGACGGTCACAGACGGTTAAACACCACCTTCCTATCACTATTACCTTCGCTTACCGATTTTATTATAATCACAAATATGAAAGAAAAAAATATTAATATTACACGTAAAAGAGATAACAATATATAGTTCGTTCAATATTTACTCACCAATAAAATACGCTCGCGAGGAATCCCCTTGTTAATTGTATTTGTTGTTTTTTTTTTGCTTTTTTTAACTGCAATATGCCGTAAGAATCATCCAGATGGGGAGGAGGAGGTTACGCGAGAACACACGGGGAGGAAGGTTTGAAGAACGATAAGATGGGAAAGACCGAAGTCGATCGAAAGGACGAAGGCGCCGGTCTGTTTTTCCTCGAGGAGGAGGAGGAGGAGGAGGAGGAGAGGGGGAAGCTGTGAAACTAACAGCGCGGGGGGTAGAGGCAAGGTGAAAAGGGTAAGAGAGAGGAAGAGGAGGAGGGGGTAGGGCGACAGGAGGCAACAGGGGCCAATCAGGGTGGGTGGGAGGAAGGGTGGGAGGAACGGGGGGATGATAGGGAATGGTAGACCGGGTGAATTTTCACGTAGAGAGGTTGCGCGACAACACACACACAGATATGATCGATCGATCCCGACGTGGTGTCGTTCTTCGGAATCGGCGGTTCCTTCTGTTACTGGTAAAAGACGGCTCCAATTGGATGCGGAACCTCTCCTTAATCTTTTTCTCTCTCTCTCTCTCTCTTTCTATTCCGTTTCCACTTCTTCCTCCTTCTTCTTTTCCTCTTTAATCTTTATTATCTTCGTTCTTCTCCTCTTATATTCCTTAATGTTCTCTTTTTAAAAACACGCCTAAAGCAATATATCTATCTATATATATATATGTATATATATGTATATGTATATGTATATGTATATGTATATATGTACGGGGGAAAAAAGTAAAGTGTAAGAAGACACGCGTTTTTCGTTTTTCGCCGATGGCGTAGTACTACCACCGTTCCTGAGTAACGTCAAGAGACTAAACCTCTTGCTATGAACGAGAAAGAGGATTGTCAAGGGGAGGGTGAGAGGATAAGGGCGAAGAACACGGACGCACCCGCCTCCACGTACTTTGCCGCCGCGAGTGCGCTTCTATAACCGCGCACGTGCTGTCTGTATTACTGTATCACCACGATTCGAGTTAATCCGACCAATAGCGTACGACCACCTGTTAGATGTCCGCTCCGACGCAACGAGTTAAACGTTATCGACCAATAAACGCGCGCCTTTTATTCTACTCTCGACAAATCGTTACAGACTTTTAGCTAACTTTCTTTTGTTTTCTTATTTTTCTCTACGTTTGGATTCGAAAATTCGCGGGCGGTATTTCACCTTCTTTATAAATCGATAAATACAAATGATATAGATCTTTTTTCCGAAAATTTTTCTGTTCTTTCTTTTACTTTTTTTAACGAAATTTTAATTAATAATAAAGTAAAATCTAAGAATAATATAATTTGTCCATTGTTAATATAATAATTCATTTTTCTGGATTATAATACATTTATCTATTTTACGCGATCGATTCATTGTGAAACATATTGCATGCTGGTAAAGAGTAAAGATTGAAAATTAATGCGGGTATTAGTCATTTGTCGCCTGTTAATTTAATGTATGCGGGTATATATACCATTCATACGGGCGTATCTATTAGAAATTTTTTAAAATCAATTTTTCAACGTGTGTACGTGTGTGATCGTTAGATTTATAAATAACAAAAGAAATGCGCGGATTAACGTAAATTTCGTATTCGTTTAAATTCGAAGCAAACGAATACAAAAAATCTTATAAATTTATAAAAGATAAATATTGTGTAGATAGATTTTTTTAAGGATTCTTCTACATCAAATATTAAATCATCCGTATTCATAATTTATTTGCGAGACATTTATCTTACGTTAGTATCGTGTTATCTCAAATGATAATCACTTATCGTTCTTATCGCAAAAAATGATATCAATTTCTTGGAAGAGATTACATATTTTTGTAAAAAAAAAACTTTCATAATTATTATACAATGGAATTCTATTTCAATTAAATTTCTAAAATCGCTTGGAATATTGATTACATCAGATGCGGTTTTTAAAATAACTTTTAACTTCCTCATGATGCAAGATTTTGTTTGATACGATCAGATGTGAAAAAAACATAGGACATAGTTAAAATGAGCAATCAAACTTATATAATGATCTATGAATAGAATAAATTGAAAATTTCTGATTATACATTGCTTAAGAACATTTCATAATGGAGATTAAATTTCCCCACTAGGATTTATTTGTATTAGACATTATATTCTATAATGTTAAATATATATATATATATATATAATAGAATGAAAAGATTTTTCTTTCATGCAGTTAGTTTACTTCTTTTTTTTTTTCTATACAATCGATCATATAATTTTTTTATGCGCACGTGAAATATTTGTTTAAAAGAAATTTTTTTTATTACATGCTCCTTACACATTTACATCGTGCAACTATTGTAACATTCGCACAATTAAAAGAAATGTTATCATTATCGATCTGAAGCTATTCTATCATCAAGTTTGTTTTAAATATGTATATATATATTTATATATATATATATATATATATATATATATATATATATATATATATATANCAAGTTTGAATGCAGATACACATTGAACCGATTTGAAATAAAAGGACATCAGGGGTTCGTTGTGGTCAGCAAAGTATATATATATATAAAAAAAATAAAATAAAATAACAAATAAAAGCCTATATAATATATATAAACACACACATATATATATATACATAAAAATATATATATATATATATATATAGAATTCTTTTATCAGGTACAATACAAGGCTGAACAAACCGTGATTGTGATTTTGTTCCGATTAAAATTGAACGGAAATATTAACCGTACATACGAAACTTGCTTCTGTTTTCTTTTATTTTTTTTTTTTAATTAAGCAGTACGTTTCTAAATATCATGAATTTTACTTAAAGATACTAAAATCGAATAACATTGCATGTTTAAAGCCTTAATTCCGATTTAAATAATTTCCGAAACAGTGCTTGATGTTTCGTGCTCAATTAAAATATACATGTATGTTTTCTTGTATATATAATATGTAATTAATATTTTTCAATAATAAAATATATTTAAATTCTTCTTATATAACATACGTATAACATTTTGCTAGGATTATAAAGAATATATGAATAATCTATCCCCAGAATTCCCATTGGTTATAAAAATATGGGTTCTAATAACATTCAAAATAATATAACAATGTAAAAAGTAAAAAATAAGTAAAATAAAATATGCAAAAAAGATTAATAATAATAGATAAACTTGTAAAAGATAAAAAAGTATTCAATTCTCTTTCTTTAAAGCGGATTGCAATAATGCGTTCCGCATGGATATTACCAATTTTTCAAGTTCTTCGACTTTCATTTTTAATATCTTATTATCTTTTTCAAGTTCTAGTGCTCTTACTGCCATTTCCGTTTCTTTAGCTTTCTTATTCATTCGTGATTTTCGTGAAGCTTCGTTATTTTTTTCTCTAGATTCTCTGTAATTAAAATTATCTGCTACTCGACTATCTGAACTACTGGAATCTTCGATAGATAATTTTCTTTTTTCCCGTTTAACGTTCGAATATTTTTTATCTACTTTGTTAGTGTTTATTATCGTCCGCGTTCTTTCGGATCTTCGTGATGTAACTGGGAAAGTAGTGTCGGACGATGATGTTATCGTTGAAGTTGATCGTGTTTTTCGACGAACTTTATCGACTTCCATATCCACCTCAACCGCTTTCTCAGTATTCTGTGAAACTGATGGTAATAGTTCGATGGGCGATCTTGAATTGAATACCGTTGATGTGTCTGTGGATGTGCTACCTTCTCCTGGTGAATGTGGCTCATCCTATAAATAACGGCAAATTCATTATTTTCCACAATATGTTCTTTGATACGTTTGCTTTAATATTAATAAAATTAAAAAAATAATATAACATTATAAACACTACTCACTTCGCAAAGATATGAAAGTAAATCAAATGTTCCCGATCCACTAGTTTGAACTGTATTTAACATATCCCATGTTTCAGGTTGATTATTATTTTCTGTTGAATCGAAAGTATTTTGGCAAGCATCATCCAAATCAAGATCGTCTATGCGTTGTGAATGAAATGATACATTAACATTAGAAGTGCTCATCTTGCTATTACTAGCACTGGTACATGCTTTGGGTAATTTTAACAATGTATTATTTGATTCCTTATATTCTGCTTCGTCGAGTTGTTTTTTGTAGTTAAAAGAAGAGTTTGATGAAGGTAACAATGGTTGATATTTGCCACCTGGAAGCTCCGTTTCACCAAACAAATTCATTTTTAATCTCCCCTTTTCCTCGTTTTTCCCCTTTGTCGCGTTTTCTGATATCCCCTTTCCCAAATTCGAAACGCTCTTACCCTCGTATTTAGTACCTAAACAAAAGAGACGAATTGTATTTTGATATTAATAAGAATAATTTAACATGAAATTAAGCGAGAAGAGTTATTTCGTTATAATCAACTTACCTGACAGTTTAAAAGGAACCAATTCACCTATAGGAAAATCGCATGGAGTCTGGAATTGGTCCATGCACCAAACGCTTAAATCCTGAAAGTTCTCCTCCCACTCGGGAAATGTTGTAATACTGTCTTCTTCCATTAATATGTTTGTTTTGGTTTGTGGAAAAATCCAGGGCTCCTTGAACAGATCTGATTCCATTGTCGGGCTTAGCAAAGGAATGGTTTCCACCTCTGTAAGGGTTACAACTTCTTCCTCCAGTGGCCGCGATCTCACGCCACGAGAAACAGATGATGGTTGCGGCAGAGGGCTGCATGGCTTAGGAACCTACAATTTTATTTGCCCATTGGATATTATGAGCTTGAAGGAATCCAATACTAGTGTAATCTCCATTCAATACCTCTTTCCATATATAAGACCCAAATGCACCAAGAAAATACCACTTACGTTATTTGCGCCTCCTTCCTCAAATGAAATGTTGCTGGTTGTTTGAGTTTCGAAAATAGGAGGGATTTTTAAAGCCTAAAACAAAATTTATTTTATATAAACTAACGATAAAATTATTAATTAACGTTTATATAACCAGTCTGTTATTTTTATCTATTGAGCAAGAAAAAAAAAAAGCAAGAAAAATCATACAATTATTAACGCAATGCAGTCGTTTCGATATAATCATTATAATAATAACATTATAACATAAATACTCTTACTAGAGATATCAGAAAATCCTATTTGATCTTTATCAGTCAGTCAAATGAACAATTTCTATGGAGTAAAAACTTGATATCAGTGATACCAAGGAAATTATCAAAAGATTGTTCATTTTATCGCATTGCGATCAATAATATCGACGTGTTTTTCACTACTTTCTAGACAAATATGATAAAGTAATAAGTATATATAAAAAAAAAAAAGGAAAAAACAGGCATTAATGCTAAATGCGACAATGCATGTATGTTTTGTTCGTCGTCAACGAATGGTCGATAGGATAGAACGGAATATAATAAATGTTGTAGATTTTCGTACGAGAGAGTCATTTTAAAAAAAAAAGAAAAGAATTTTTATCGAAAATGTAAATTCATGCTATTACAGAAAAAAAAAGGAAAAAATATTGCTTTTTAATACGTGGTTATCTAAAGTAAGTAATGTTGTTACGTAATCGAAAGCGCCGACATGTGACTACGTTTTCAAGAGACACACGTTATATCATGCTTCTCTGCCGCCTCAAATCGATAAGCAGAGAGAAAAGGGGGAAAAATAAATTTTCCACTCGTGTCGAGTAAGAAAAAGTAACGAGACAAAACAAATAATCGTTCGAAATAAATTTTGCAAGTAGAAAATTTCAATGTTTAAATTAAGAATTAAACTTTGTTCGATAGAACACATAGGACGATGTTTTTTAATATATTACAACGACGCATCATTGTAGACCGATCGATTAACGAAAGAAGGTAAGCAAGTACTTAAATAAAGAACTATATATGCATATATACATATATATACATGCATAAAAGCCACTACGTCGCAATTGATCGTTTACTTTCGAGAACTATCGAAATTATCGAATTAAATGGTAAGAGACATGAATACTGTGCGCTGTTATATAACATGTTTTTGCGTAGCTTTAAGAACGTAACGAAAAATAAGAGCTAAGGTGAAAAACGTAATTTGCACGAAAAACAACACACTCACCCTCCGGGAAACGATAAACGTAGCTGCGCCTTCCACTTAGGGGGATGCAGGAAAAAAAGACTGAATTTTAATAATGTCCAAATAATAGTAATGCGTATGGTCGTATTCGTACGATGTAATGTATATTTTTTATTTTCTTCTTGATGTTTTTTAATCTTCTTCTTCTATCTTCTTTAAATCGATGTCACACGTATATATTTATATATATATATATATAGTCTTACTTTTTATCAAGTAAAGAAATGTGTCGTATAGAATTAAATCTCAACGATTTCGTAGATATTTCTGAAGAGACGAAAGAGAACGTTTCTCTTTAATCTACCTTCACGAAATGCGGCTGGCCTGTGCCACATCTGAGATTCTAAAGACTCAACTCATACCACCACGTCACAAAATGGCGCTACGCGCGCTCTCTCTGACGGTTTACCGTTTAACTACGTCATCGTTGACCAATGATAACCCTTCTGATCACACCATTAACCAATCGAAATGTTTACGAGATACCACCTACGGGGGAAATTGACACGTCATTCTCGGAATACGATGATGCGCGATAAATTGATATTTTTCTCTCTTTCTATTTCATTTACGCACCATAACGACCCATCACGTGTTTATGCTAATAAATGTTCTTTTCTTTCCAATTCTTTACTTTTTTCGCTTTCTCTCTATCTATTTCGTTTTTCCATTTTTCTTCTTCTTCTTCTTTCCTTTTAATATCATCTTTATCTTTTCCTCATGATTTATATTCGTCACTTTTAATTCTCTCCACTTACTTACAATTCTAAAACGTTTTATTGCAGTATCTTTTGAAGAAGAATTTTTCTTCTTACGGTATTGACAAATTTTCAACTTTCATCGCTTTATATCTCGTTCTTTTTCTTTTTTTTTTCATATTTTCAATGCGCGTAAGCTTAAAAATTCTCTTTTACTTGAATTCCGTCTCGAGATCGAGTTATTTATTTAGAAGAATAAAATAAAGGTTAGGATGATACGTTTAGGAAACAATGGATGTATTTTAGGAAAAAAACTATATATGTATTATTCGTATCCTGCTATTTGTTTGTTATTGTTTGGAGTTTTCGTAATTGCTATGTATACATAACATACCTACTTCAAATCGACGGATATAATACGTTAAATTATTTTTTTACTACGTAGTTCAACTTTTCTTGTGAAATGAAAAACAAAAATTTATAAAATAATTTTTCTTTTGAATAAAATTAAATGCGCCAGTAATATTTGTTCTGATCTAACACAAAATAAAAACTTTTCAATAATGTAATATGTATATATGTGTATTATATATTACAGATAATATATATATATATTTATAAAGAATGCATGCCTAAATTTAGAGAGAAAGTATAGAATTTTATCGAAATAGTACTCTTTCGTAACCTTACATAAACAAGGTGGTATGTTAAAGGCGTTAGAAATGAATAAACAGAATAATTTAAATTATGAAGATCGACTAAAGGTATGCGAGAGTTTAGTAACCAAAAAACCCAGCCGAACGATCCGTGAGAAAGAATGTGATGAGGAAAAAAAAGATGATAATGACTCACGTATTGGTCCAATCTGGTTTTGCTCTAGAGAATGTTTTCAAAAGGGTGATTTTTAAAAATAATTTACATTCGTTCGATATAATTTTAGTTTCTTCTTGCTATTATGACTGAAAATTATGAAAATGCTATGAAAATTGGTACAACAGGTAAAATTTTTATTCATACTCTTAACCTTTAAGTTTTGGTGTCATTTATTTAGAGATATAATTGATGATACTTATTATCTTAGTAATTAGATTGAATGATTAATATACTCGAAATATTTTTTTTCTGCTTACACAGTTTTAAAACAGAACCCGAATGATCTAAGGATATTGAAAATGTTATCTGCTGTTAAAGATAAAATCGGTAAGTGTTATATAAAATTACAATGAGAAAAAGAGTATAAGTATTTTATAAAAATTTATTTTATATTCTAACCAAAAGCTATAAAATTAGGTTATATCATTTCAAGGTGTAATCAAATTACCAAAATAATTATAGGATTATAATTATGTTTATCTTTATTTTATAATTATGAAAAAAATGAGCTAAATGACTATACAATTTGTAATCACTCTGACAAAGTATACTATTTATAATCTAAATAATTATTCTCTTAATAATTATTCTTTGCTCGTTTAAACGTACAAATATTCTTCTAATCTTATCATCCGTATGCTTATATTTCATCGGACTATAAAATTATCGATCGTGTATATGTGTATATACAGTAACAAACAAAAATATTGGCACAGACTAAATTTTCCTCTAATCATTCTTTTACGAATTGTTTATAAGTACAAATTTTCATTTTATTTTATTTTTGTAAAATATCTCAGCAGTCTAAAGTTTAATTATATTGCAAATCAGGAAAAGTAAATTGATATAAAATCCTACAAAAAAATAACAACGTATGATGGTTCGTATTTAATTAAAAAATACTTTTAATTATTAAAAGCTCTTATATTTTTAATCATATACTTATTTAATCGCTATGGTTTAAAATGTATTTAAACATTAGATTCGGGAGATGTACTTAATAAAAGTATTAAATAAATAATCGTATTTTTTGTTTTATAAATTACAAGAAAATTTAATGTGTGCCAATACTTTTGTTCGATACTGTATACATAGATATATATTTTCGTGATTTCAAGTATCATTTTTTCCGAGAATCACCGTTGTATATTAGTGCGTGATTATATAAAACACTCATACATACATACACACACACACACACATTCATGCACCATCATGTTTAAAGTAAGCAAACACACAACCATATATACTTGTGTGTAAAAATATGTGTAGGCGTGTCTCGAGAATCGGTCGAGAAGAGACGGCTTATGACGTTTTTCTTAATTTCGTATGCGTCGAACATGTTATATTTCTATTGTTAGCAGTAAACAGTCTGGCAGAGTCTGTCGCCAGTGATTCGGATGAAGATATTTCCAATGAAGAAAATATGCAAATAAATATTGATTCGAACGATCTTGACTTCGATATAAACGATGAAAAGAATAATAAAGATTACATCGGTATAGATACAAACCAGTATTGTCAGAGATCACAATCGGTATCATCATCGAAAAACTTGTCCGATTGTATTAAAAAATATCTTCTATCACGTATCGGCATGGAAAAGAAACAAGGGAGCTTTGTATTTAAAGAAAAAATGTATCGAGTAATACCTATGAAAATGAATAGAAATTAAGGTATTATTTTTAACTCTTTCATCAATGCTTATTAAGAAATTATACTCATGTTTGTAAAAAATATTATATAATGATTTTTCTAGACTCGTGTTAATTTGAATTTAAATATGACTACTTGTATTAAATCTAATGTATCATTATTTATACATACCTATAAGTGTGGGGATGTATAATACGTATGTATAATACAATACATGGGTGTAGAATAACGTTTCAAATGGTAATATGTTAAAATTGAAGATACACTGGATAGAAGAAAAAACGTCACAAAAACATACAAAAAGTCGTATAATTAACAATTTAATTTTTGAAAGTCTACATTATTTTGTTTATGGTACACGTTGGACCCTGTCCGAATTGAAAATTTGGACAGGATGATAATTAAACTTATTATATTTTATGAGTGATTATGATTGTTTTTTTTTCTTTTTTTTTTTTTTTTTTGTTAAATACACATAAAAATACATGACAATAAGCAAAACGGGGTTTGTCATATTAAATTAATATCTTNTTCTCTCTCTCTCTTTCTCTATCTATCTCTCTATCTCTTTCTCTCTCACCGTGGGGGCAGGGACGACGACTCACTGACCTTCGCTGTCACTATCACTCTTGTCTGGAAAAATAAATGTTCCTTCGTCACTAACGTTAAACATGGCAAATATCTCTGTGGATTTGGCCGAGCTAGAATATTTGCGTAGAGTAGATATTTTTTTTTTTCGAGCGAGCTTAGCTTCGGTGCGGTAGGATGAGAGAAATGATCCCTTTTTTTACTTTTTTTTTTACTTTTTTTTTTTTTTTGTTAAATACACATAAAAATACATGACAATAAGCAAAACGGGGTTTGTCATATTAAATTAATATCTTGGATATTTTTTATATGACACACTCCTCGTGTTCGTTTCTGTTCCCGTATTTTTTAATTGAAAGAAACAAAAAAAAAAAAGAAAAGAAAGAAGAAAAAAAAAACTCTTCTTCATTGAGACACACTTTCGGTATACAACGTTAGAACGTTTTTTTTTTTTTTTTCGATTAATGAATAATAATATAAGGTAGAGAACGCTTAGGTATCTATTATATTACAACGTAATACATTATTTATAATAACAAAATATAAATTCACTTATTTATAATGACCGTTTAACATACAAATACACTCTCGTTCGCACCAATAATCAAAATAGGAGTTAATCAAGAGTGTGCGTGTAAGTTATATTCGCGCGTGCTTGTTACTTATCATCTAATTGGTATTAAATTACAAAAATTACAATCTCGTTTACGTAGTCTCTTTGTTTCATTTTCATTTACTACTCGTGCGACTTCTCGTTTAACTCCAGAGAAAAATTAAAAATGATTTAATCGATGGATTTGGTGTTGGTGAGATGTTGTTGGTGGTGGTGCCGAAACAATGATCATCAATTCAAATTAATCGTCGTTTCGGGACCCGATTAATTTCATTTCTTTTCCCCCGTAGATTTAATGCGCACTTTTAATCGTAGTGTCACACAAATGTTGTGTTTATAATTTCTTTTTTCCACATGGGTCACGTGATTTAAATCAAACAGAAATACGATCATACTTCTTCTTCTTCTTCTTCTTCTGTCATGGATGAATACACCGATGATACACCGTGGAAACTCTCGTTGCGAATAATACGTCGATAGGTGATCGTTCTTTTCTTTCTTTTTTCTTTTCCATTTTAATGATTTTTTCCATTTAGTTTAGTTTTCGTCCCCTACGCGTAGGAAGATAATAATAAATAAAAATAACGTGACCCATATTAGACCCCACCCGAGTTAATAACTTCTTTCCTCGAAAAGATTTCCCTTCTTAAGTTTTCCGCGTACTCGAGAGCATGTGTTAGTGCATTAACTTCAACTCTTTCTCTGTAAAATTTTTCTTTTCTTTCTTTCTTTCTTTCTT